GGGTGCTTTGGTCTGCTGTGCCACTTTTCGGCTTTGCCGATTGGGCTTGCCACTTCCAAGGTCGCGTGGGACGCATTCTGGTCGGTGTCAGTAGTGCCAAGAGCCCGGCCCACGTTGCAGGAGCACAGACCATTTGGTGCTCTCTTATTCACCCATTTACAAGTGACATGCGAATATTTTACTCAATGTCAGGGCAGTTGCAGTCGTTAGAGCCAGGGCTCTCAGGTCGTCCCCAGCTCGAGAACAATGCTCCTCATCGCATACAAGTGCAGTGGCGCTCTGCGTGGTTTCGAGTTGTGATTGATGGGCATCGCGCCCCATGGCTGCGAGTTCTTCACGGTAATGGCGTGCACTCGCACTCTTACGCATTTTTCTTTTACCTCGGGGTGCAATCTCCAGAGCAAGCGCAGGTCAGTCCATCAGCCAGTCGAGTGCTGTCGCGTTCACAGCCTGCGTGTCTCAGCTGCGAGCCCCGCACAGTGTTGGACTGGCACAATAGCCATTGTTGTCGATCATGCTCTGCTTGGCTTTGCAGGCAGCATCGAGGTATTTGCCCCCAATGCCGGGCTGGCTGCTTTTGCCAATCCTGCCTACCCACACATGATTGCCTGACGCAAGCAAACTTGGATGTGCTTGGGGGAGGTGATGCGTCAATGACGCAGGGTGGTCTGGGCCTTGAAGAAGTCAACAACTTTCACGGCTTCCTGGTTGCCCACTGCAATGGTGAGCGACGCTACCGGCCTTTCAGCTCAGACGGGCAGCCCTTGTCGCCAACTTTCATGAACGCATACAACTGCGCTGTTTGGTATTTGCTTGCTGCAGCACGGAGACTGTCGAAAGCCAGAGACCTACTACAATGCACAGATTGGCTGCCCCCGGACGTATCATCCCATGCGCTCCTTTACGTGGTCAGCTCACGACGGGGCCCACTGTTCTGGCTTCCATACTTCTTCTTTCACGGTGTTCTGACCCACATAGGCCGCAGTGATCAGTGCAAGCTCGTAGCTTGGAATTTGGACGAGTACCAGCTGTGCAGCGACGCTGGCGTGGATGGGTTGGACCTGCAAGATGTTCTTTGGAAGTGCGGAGTTCCCGCACCATACGAACATGATCTGACGTATCCCGGCGATGCCGTCAATGATTACCTTTGGCACTACGACATGATGCTTGTCCAGGCTGAGCCAGCGGAGCTGTTGCAGGACAGCCTTGTCTCGAGGCATAGTCAGGCAGTCATGTTGAGTAAATGATTGTCCAACATGTTATCCGTAAAGTGTTGAACAAGCAGCGCAACCGCCTGAGGATGGTCTATACATTGTGCACTACAAGAGTATCTTTACGCTTTGGCAGTGGGAAGGTGAGAAGGGTTATTGGTGGTGTTCCTTTGGCTGGATTCAGGTTCAGGAGGACCTTGCCGCTGCTATGACTGAACTCCTGCAATTTCAAGTCTTTGCTGTACTCAGGCCTTCTGACTTGGTCGTGCGCGAGCTACAACGCAGAAGTGCGAAGCAAAATTACGTTGGAGAGAAAATGCATGAGGACCGGCTCGGGGGTGCATCCAGCTCAAGAGAATCCTTGTTCTCAGCTTTGGATGCGACCTTATCAAACTCATTAACGAACGTGCGTGCGAACCCGCCGGCCTGGAATGACTCCATCCTCGAGAAATGCCGCAATATGAGAGCCAGGATCCAGGCAAAGTATCCGGATTGGTGCGACTTCCAGGTTCGCATAGCAAGCGCTGCAATTTTGATGTACAAAGTGCGGATGGTTGACATGTTTATTCGAGAGCTGGCTATCCTACTCTGGGTGATCGAGGGCGAGAGCCACATGCGAATCCACAATGGCTTCTGCTTCCTATATCATGAAGCTGGCTGTTATCAGGCATATTGCGGCATCCCGCCTGAGTCAACATTCGCTCGTATCAAATACTTCCTGCTTGTCCTTGAGGGTTTGTTCAGGAAGCTGCCGCCGCAAACGCGCAGGACGGATGAGCATGTCCTCAACGCTGCAGCGGCGCTCATGAACAATGCAGAAAGTCCTGAGGCTTTCTTTGACGAGTGCCAAGACGCCGCTCTACTTTCCAGCAATGGTAGCAGACGGCAGAGGCCAGCAGCCCAAGCTGCTCCAGACCACGACCATGCAGACAACGAGCCAGACAACTCCAACGGTTTGCCCTGGACAGTTTTTCTAGCTCAAGCGCTGTCCAAAATCGGTCTTCAGCTACAGTATGCGTTGCTGGAAGAGAAGAAGCTGCTTGCCTACCTAATTGAATGGTGCGAGACTCCGCTGGAGCGAGCGCCAGGGTGCTGCTACACAGACTGCTGCGTGCTTTACGATTGTTCGCCAGAAGGTCCAATTACGTTTGCCCAGCGCCGCCCAGAGAATAATATTTTCATTCGCGTGCCTCGAAGGCTTCTGGATCCAGTGGCCGATGCTGACAAGAGAAGACTTGAGCGATTCTTGGGCACTACCTTTTGGAACAACCAAAAGGTCTTCGATTGCTGCCAGGCGGCGCAAGCTCTAGCCAAGAGAGGCGAGAACATTGATCGCTGCTTCATTGGCGTCGGTCCTGGCGGTGTTGGTCAATCATTGTACAGCCTGCTACTTTCGAGCATGTACGCTCACAATCATGCCTTCATCGACCCGAACATTTGGTTCCAGGAGGATGAGCTGCGCAAGCAGATTGAGCAGTTCGCGCACTGTTTCATTTTGACCGGACAGGAAGCGCCTCAAGGCTTTAAGCGGGTACGGGAAGACCTGTACAAAAAAACCATCTCTGCAAATGGCGTCGCTGGCCGGAGGCCATATGGTGCCGTTACTAGGATGCTCTCGCTTATTGGATGGAAGCGCCTCGAGGTGAATCAAATGTTCCACTTTGCAGGAGTCACGGAGGAAAACTTCAATTCAATTCTGCGCAGGTCATTTGTGTGGTTCCCCTTAGCAAAGTTCGTCGATGACCAGCAAACACAGACGGACGAAGAGCACGGTGTATTCCGGGCCGACCCTTCTCTGCGTGAGTTCTTGGTTAGCGGGCCTGCCATTCTTCATGCGCTGCGGATTCAGCATGCGTTTGAAGCCACGCACAGCCGGGACACTTGCAGGGACGTCATCGAGCGCTATGTATTCAATGAAGATGCTGGCGCTACAGAAGAGGTTATGCGGACTGCCTGCGGGTTGCAGAAGACTATGGAAAGCGCTGCCAACGCCCAGGGCTCAACCGAAGACCAATCTGACCTTGCAGGGCTAATGCGAAACTTGCGCGAGGAGCTTCTGGCCAAGCCAACCTCGTACGTCTCTATGAACGCATTCAAACGACTGAGGTGTGTCAGCTCGGTGCCGCACAAGGACTCTGTGTGGAAGCAAATGTTAGAGACGAACGCGATAATGGATTGCGGAGCAGTTGGCTGGCAGTATAGAGACTGCTACTACCCTACAGTGAACACAGCAGTGTCTTTGCAAGAGGTCTGCCGCGCAGGCGACCTGTCTTGCCCACCTCGGCTTCCAGAAGAGTGGCACACTGAAAGCCTGCTCTCATTGAGCCGCTTGGCCAGCTCGTCTTAGATTTTTTATTGGTTCAGTGTCACGGGATGCCAACCATAATGTTCCAGGTTTGGGCACCACCAGCCTCAGGACGTGATTCCAAAACCCAGAGCCCCAACACCGAGACGATGCTTCAGTTCTACAAAGCCGCTTTGAAACGATGCAAAGCAGGCACGCCCACTTTGGTCGAGAAGTTGCAGCGCGATCGGCTTGCCTGTCAGTTGCAAAAGCTTGAAGACTCCGAGAAGTTTTGCCGATGGCTAGCGAAGACTCCGTCCACCAAGCGGATGACCCAGGGTGGCAGTCCTGGACGCAAGCAACGGAGGGTTGGTGATGATGGCAGAGGTTCTGAGCGGGCAGTTGCAGATGCAGAGACGCAGCAAGAGATCGAGAATGCGGAGGCGCCCCACACTTGGCAATTCAGCGTGTCCTACAAAAACACGCTTGGAGAGCTGCTGCGAACACGGAAGCAAGCTTGCACGGAGTCTTCGCAGAGATGCACCCGGCGACAACTCAAAGCATTACTTCCTGACTGCGTCGACTTCGACATTTCTAATTGCTGCTTTTCAGTGTTGGCGCAACTTGTTGACCTGCTCAAGCCGCTGGAGCCAGTTCCTAAAGTGGTCGCAGATACCCTTCGCATGCTCTCAACTGACCGAGAAGGCGTGTGCGTTGACGAGCTGCATGTCAGCCCTGCGGAGGGCAAGCAGCTGCTACTTGAGACCTTCAACGGGGCTGCTATTCATCCAAACTATGCAAACAACGCTTTTCTCAGAGATGTGCAGCGAGCGTCATTCTACTGCAGATGGCTTGCGTGCACAGTCCTACCGGAAGTTCATCAGAAATGCATTCAGGACCCTGCAAGAAAGCAAGCTGATGTATCGACCTTGTTCTTCTTGTGGTCTGCTGCGGAGGATTTCATTCTACAGGCATGGGTTGAGTTACTGCTACAGCAAGGCCCGCGGCATCTGTCCTTGCATTACGATGGCGTGAGAGTGAATCGTGAATGTGTGGGCGATATCGCAGAGTTCATCACAGCCAGCCACAGCTGGATCAAGAGCAAAACTGGCTTCACTGTGCAGATTGTTGAAAAGAAGCACGAGTACTTTGTGGATTTGCTCATCCAGTCCGCCTCAAGCCGCAGGGAGGCGCCAGTTGCTGCAAGTCTGCTGCTTGAGAATGGCAACTGTGTTCCGTGCGCCTTGAGCCGTGTTCTTCCAGAAGACAAAGTCGCGCAGCTGATTTCCCACCTTTCCGCCTTGCAGGCGCAAAGCACACACTGGAAGTATCGCGACCTCGCGCGCAGTCTGGAAGTGAAGCTTTGCCCTTTTCTCTGTGGAGAAACTCTGCTCCCTGGGAAGTACCTTATTCATTCTGACGGGAAGGAAGCTCACTGCGTCGCTGCTGTCGTTCATGCCAACAGTCAGGACATCACGGCGTGGGACGGAACATCAGAGCTGTCGATGTCGCTGAGAACTTTCAGAAACTGTATCGCTGGCTGCGTTGACGAGAACTCCATTGTTGGCTTTGCCGTGGAGCCTGGAGAGCGCAAGGAGCGGTCAGATTTGCCATCTTTAGCTTCTTCTTTAGACACTCTTCTGGAACTGCGGGCTGGGGCAAAGGGATCGGAATATCCGAGGCCAGATGACGACCAATCCTCTGCCGATGCTTCGGCCTGTGGTGAGGAAGAGGACGAGTCCGTGGTGTCACCTGGGCAAGCCCTTCTTGCCAAGCTGAAGGCGGAGGTACAGGTCACCTTGGAAGAAAAATTGTTTCCGAAAGTCGACGAAAAATATCGCTGCCCATTGTGTCCTTTTCGGGCCTTTGCAAAACTGACTAGAGTTTCGCAGCACATTGCCAAGTACCACACGGTGAAGGTGCAGTTCTGCCCTAGCGGCACGAAGCAAGTCAAGTTATTGTTGGCGCTATATGACGAAGATTGCATGCGTGGGAAGGATGGCCAAAACTATCTCCAGCGCAGTTCTGACACTCTGCGGCAAACTGTTGCGCCGTCCCTTCTGTCATCCCGAACAGATATTGACAAATTCATTCGCATCGTCTTCACGGCGGCCGGCCCTGTCTATCGAAACTTGGACGCCTTGACCGACGGTGAGCCTTTGCGCCGTGTCAGGAATATTTACTACACACGCTGCTTCGCGCACTTGGTCGTTCGTGAGATGCTCTTGTGCAACGCAAAGGCAACCTGGCTAAAGTACTCGCGCTAGGTGTTGCGTGCAATCATCAAGAGAGGTTCCACACTACTGAAAAACGGCGCGTTTGCGTAAACAGCTTTTGCTCTAAGGTCAGAGCCATGATTCCACGAGTTACGCAGGAAGCGGTCGCCAGGAATTGTCTGACCACTAGCCTGCTTCCTTCCAACGTGAAGGACTGGTGGCCGATCGTGGAAGATATCTTCACTTCCCCTAGGCTGAGCGATCGCAAAGATTCCTTGCTGCAAGAAGCAGTGCAACATGAAGAGTTCGTGGCGATCTCAATCGATGCCACAATGCGATGCTGTCTCTCAATTCTGGGCCAATGCCACCCACGTGCGCCGCAGGCGGACCGTTTACAGGCAGCCTTCGACGACGCTGCTGCTAAGCGAAAAGCACCTTGCTTCATTAAAGACATCCTTTTCCTCTCTCTTTTATTCTACTCTTGCTTTTCCTTTCAGTCATTGTTACAACTTGGCCTCTATCGGTTTCAGCTTATAAACTGATTTTACTATGGTGCCAGCACAGGTTTTGACTGTCCGCGGCAGAACCAATGCAGTTCTACTGCTTCACGCCGTGCCCAGCGAAGCTGCTGAGGTTATTGTCACTGCGCTGGCAGAGCTGCCAGCCCATGCTCTGGCGCAAATTCAGTTCATTGCGAGCGACAGCCCTTCAAGTGCACTGGCCCGGCAGCTGCGACGAGTCTGCCCCAACCTTGTGATGCTCAGCCTAGATCCCGTGCACTTGGCCTTTGCATGGGAGTACTCAACTTGGAAAAAACGCACACCTGGCAGCAAAGCGCTCCGAGCAGTCCTCAGCAAGCTCAGTGTGCGGGATCCACAGGCAACAGCTGAGCATTGGGGCTGCGTGTATGAAGGTACGGCGCCACCCGAGCTGACACCCAGAGAGCAGGCTCAACGTGACCGCATCAAGGACGGCGGCATGCCACTGCGGGCAGCCAAGCAAACCCTTCACACTATGGATTACAGTGTGCCTTTTTATGACAGGATGGAAATTGTCAAGGCATTCGCAGCTCTTTCGGCACTCTATCCAGAGGAGGTGGCAAAGGTGTCTCCGGGACCGAATAGGAAAGTTTGCGAACTCTTGTGGACCGCGACATCTCCAGACCGTCTCGAGTGGTACATGAACAACATTCGGTCCAGGCATTACATGGCTTTTGCTCACCATTCTCTGCTTCACGTGGGAACAACAAGCAATGAATCGCTCCACCGAGAGATAAACTGCTGGTTCAACCAGACACAGCAGATGCATCAGGCTGTTCTGGATCTCAAGCTGCTTGTGCTTCAGTATGGCAAGCTTCTATCTCACAACGCGGCAATGTATCATCCCACTTCTTCCCAGCTCAACCAGGCCACGGTGCTCGCACGGGTTGCTAGCCTTGAGATGTGGACCTTAAGGCAATGGCAAAGCTGGTGCTCGATGAACATGGACGTCAATGGGATTGGGAAGGCAAGTCTCCCAATCAATCTGATGCGGCAAGAGCAACAAAGACAAGTACGAGCTGCTCGTAAGAGACCGGCAAGCTCATCGCCAAACTCGCAGACTCACCGTGCAAAAAGACGATCACCTTTCACGCTGCAAAGAAAAGACGGGGTGCGGCGAGGAGGTGTGCGCGATGCGTCTCTGCCAAAGAACGCGCGTCCTCCGGTTCGAAAGCGACCGGCAAGCTTACTCCCATGATGGCTATTGATGCAGGCTGTAGGCAAAATGCCGGTCAGCTCATTCTGTCATTGACCAATTACAAGAGGTTCAGATTGCGGCCGGCAAAAAAAAGTCAGCGTTGCCAGCATCCTTGACGAAGCATCAGAGGCTACGAATGGAGGGGGCGTCTCGCAAATATAGAAATATACTAAGGAGCTCGCTTCTTTCCCCGTAATTCCATTTTCTTTCCTCTCTTTCCTTCCTTCCTTCCCTCCTTTCTTTCTTTCGTTCTTTCTTTCTGCTTTCTTTCTCTCTGTCTCTCTCTCTCTCTTCCTATTTATCTTTCTCTGTTTTTCTTTTTCATTCTTTCTTACTTTGTTTCTTTTCTTCTCACAGCTTCTCCCATCTTACAAGCTGCCAGTCGGCGAAGCCCAAGCATAACAGCTTTGACTAAGAGCGTGGAGTGAGATGCAGTAAGAGCCGGGCTCCTGGCCTAGTATGATGTTGAAGCATTTGCAAGGTTTGCCACGCTGACATATTTGGCTCAAGGAGAAAAAGGGCACTGATAGCATCATGTAGCCATATGCTAACTGTGGCGCACCTGCGCTCACAGACAGCCCGCCTCTTTTGTCCGTTTGTTTTCGCTTTCTGCGCAAGGCCGGCGCCACCAGCAGCTTTGCTTAAGAGCGTAGAGTGAGATGCAGCAGGAGCCGAGGCTACTGGCCTAGGATGATGCTCAAGCATTTGCAAGGTTAGTCGTGTTGAGGTGTTTAGCTCAAGGAGAAAAGGCGCTGAAAAGAGATGCTACTTGTGGCACACTTGTACTCACACGCAATGCACTTCTTTTGTGTCGGCGGTTGTGTCAACTTTCTGCACAAGGTTCAGCAGCAGCGATGCTAGTAGTAGCAAGCTTTTATTAAGAACAAAGATATATCAAACATGTGGTTCCCCAGCAGAAGAAGGAAAAAAAGATGTTACTAAACAAATATGAGCCATTGAGTTTATGTGGACGGCCCGTCAGAAAATGTTAGAAGTAATGAACAGGTTAGAAATACCAACGGGAGGGAATTATAAATGCTTTTGTGTGCTAATAGTGCTAAAACAAGCAAGAAGGGTACGAACATGACATGGAATCGTCCAAAGTCGCAAAGTCGGAGATATTACTCGATGTGCTTAATGTTGCCTTATGTTTTGGCCGCAGCGTCGCGCCATCAGATGATCGACGTACTGAAGGATGAGAAACCATAAGAACATTAGGCGTGATTTGAAATATAGCAACAAATTCTGTAGGTATTTATATATAATAGACGTCGGAAGGTGAAAACATATTGTTGTGGATTGATTGAACAAATTGTAGATATTAGTAAGAGTGCAAATATATTGAATGAACATATTAATGCACAGTTAAGTTAGCCAACAAGCAGCAACGACGACGAGAAAAACATATTGATGACATGTTTGAAAAGAAAGGATTAGGCAGATTAGTAGGCGGTCATAAAAAGAAGCACGCAAGTTTCGTGTAATCAGAGTTACTGAAAACTGAATAACCTAAGCCCGAAACTCTTGCACACTACAAAATAGTTATGGACGAATTGTAAATATATACATATACATATATATATATAACTTAATAGTTAGAATTAACATAATGCCAACAGTATGAATTGTTTGGAACTTTGCTTTTGAACTACGCTGATTTTAATGAAGATAATTTGAACTGCAGTTGTAAAAGATCTGACAGGACTTAGTTTAACTCTTTTTAGAATTCTCGATGTTGCGCAGTATACAGCTTCACAAAACAGTAGGAATACAGTTTTTTGCCTGATAGCATTGCATGAATGACAGTAAGTGCAGCATCCAAAGCTGTCAAAATACGAGTGCAGCGCAAGCCTGATTGGTCTAATGCTGATAAGACATGCACCTACACGCGCGCGCGTACGAACACACAACACGTTTTTTGGGTGGGCGGGTTTGTAAGCTTTCTGCACGAGGTCGCTCAGGCATTATCAAAAGCACGATCATAAGAAGGAAGAGCAGCAAGGACAAATGTTACTAAAAGGTCCCTGCCACATATATATATATGAGCCCAAACATGGTTTGAATGATGGTTTGACTTTCAGGGTAGAGACTCCAACTCCCAGTTGAGAGCAGTTCAAGCGAAACGGAGCCCCCCGCTCTGCTTCCCAGGCCTTTGGCTCCACCTCTCAGAGCACATGCCGGAAGCCCTGGAGCCAACTCCCGGCGACCCGCTGGTGACTTACGTACCGCGGCTCAATATCCGACAGGTGTCCCAATTGCGGGCACCCCCGCCATTTTTGGAAGGTCCACGGTGAATTGCATGTACAGATTCATTTGTGTTGGTCTGGCCGAACAAGAGATTGGGGGTCTTCCGGCTTGAGGACATGTTGGATATCCGTAGCCTTGCAGTAGACGTTGCTTCAAGCCGTGGTGAGTTGCCTTTCCCTTCGACTCACACCTGCGCTCTGCTGGCTGATGCACCTGCACCCGAACATTTTGACACAGGTTTCAGATTGACAAGAAAGCAAATGGCCCCTGGGATCCAGTTCCCATTTTCAGAACCAGGCGGAACTGCGCGCGTGGGAATTGATTCCTAGACAACCAGAGACTCGGAGAGGATTTGTTAGATACCCCCAAGTCACCGGGTCTTGCACTGGAGACATCCATGTTTCTCTGTGTGTGTGTCTCTGTGTGGTGAGAAAGTAAACGCACTGCTGGCCTGTGGTTGCTTGTGTTCAAGAGTCATAAGGGCCTAGACCCTAACAAAGGATCTGCATGCACCACTACAATCACTTTGTGCGAGCGCAAACCCGAAACTGGGCAGAAATCAGGTTTATGCCAAGACTCAGCATTTCATCAGAGTATCAGTATTCTGCTCATCATCTATCTCCATCACCTTCACCATCATTATCGTTGTCGTCGTTCTCATCGTCGTGACCATTATCATCATCAACATCATCATCAGCATCAGCATCAGCATCATCATCATCATCATCATCATCATCATCATCATCATCATCATCATCGTCATCGTCATCGTCATCGTCATCGTCATCGTCATCGTCATCATCATCATCATCATCATCATCATCATCATCATCATCATCATCATCATCATCATCATCATCATCATCATCATCATCATCATCATCATCATCATCATCATCATCATCATCATCATCATCATCATCATCATCATCATCATCATCATCATCATCATTGTTATCGTTGTGATCATTATCAGCTTTTACTTGCCATTATTTGTGGAACTCATTGCTGTGTGACAAGAGGCGCTGCAAGCGGTTAGCATGCGCACCAAGGTCTTCGATCTGCACCCCGGCAGGCCAGTAGCTTTCAGGTGGCGGCACCACCCCTAGCAGATAACAATGGGCTGATGTACATCGGGGCATCAACGTGATTAACAATTTGAATATTAGGAAGAAACCCTAAGATCAATCCATGGTGTATGACCCTTTGTGTGACAGGGCGACTCTCGCATTTTGTGGGGCTGCCCCCGTTAAGTTAGCTTCTCCGGATTCATCCGTAGTGCACATTGCAGCGCCAAATGTTCGAAGCTGTATCAATCGTCTCTTAAGTTTCTCAACAAGGGGCCTCCCAACATGCCTGGTTTCCTTTTGGTTTCCCTTGAACTATCAACCAAAGGGGTCCACCATGGTGAGAGGCTGTCCCTTCTGTTGCGCCCGGAAAGCGGCTCACCAGGCCGCACATGCTGACGCCGGAGGGCCGCTTCCGGGTCCCCGGGCAGTGGGCCTCCGAACTTGCGCCTTCGTCGACGTCTCAGCTTGAGCTTGGGTACACTCCCTCAGCCTAACATGGAAGCTCCCAGAAGGCGTCTGTAAATGGAACCAAGTCTTCCAAAAGGGTCCTTGGAGCTTCCATGTTAGTCTGGGGGAGGGTAGGGGTCTTTTGGCGCCTGTTCCTGTGTTTCTGTGGTCAGGAGTGCTTTTCGGGATGTTTTTTTTCGGTGTTCTGGGGGTCTGTTTTCATCTTCCCGGTGTTTTTGGTGTCTGGTCGGTGTTCTCGAGTGAAACTGGAGAGTCCCAGTTCAAAAGGCTGGGACGGTTGCCGATGTGTTTTCTTGTTTTCCCCACGGGCAAACTTAGGTCTAAGTTTGGTGTCCAAAGCCATGAGTGACCGCACTTATGTGCTGAAGGGTGGATGGGTGTTTTGGGTGCCATGCGGTTTTCACCGGCTCCGCCACCAAACCGGCAAACACTTGGGGGGACTTAATGTTGCGCAGAACTTTACGATTAGATGTATGGCTTCCGCATAACACCCATGTATTCGTTTTAGTATTCAGAATGTCCAGGCAAACATGGCATGAGCGTCCCGCTGTGTCCGCCCGCAAAGCTCACCCCAATGTTTTAAAAGCAGCCGAATGAACGATTCCCAGCAACGACTTGTGGTTTAGACAAGACTTTCAATGGGCGCGGTCAAAACTCGAGGAAGCGGGCGAAGGTTGATAGGAATGCCATAGGAAGGCGCTGAACGTTTCTCCTAACTGCTCTTCCGTTGTTCCACGAAGGGATATGGCAAGCGTCGCCGTACGAACGGATATTGTTTTTTTTTTTTTTTTTTGAGTCTTGCCGAAGAACGCTTGCTGTTGCCCACTCACCCAGCAAACGATGAGAAATCTTGGTCAACAGAAACCTTTCTCACCCTCAGACATGGCAGACCAGAACGAGCTATGTTGAAGAGCTTCATGTGATTGCCAAGGTAATCTTGTTTGAACAACCAACCTTTGAGCCCCTTTAGACGGAAACCGGAGCAGTGTTATTTAAATTTCTTTCTCTTCCTCCTCTTTCTCTTTCTCTTCTTCTTTTGTACCCTCTTTCTCTGTCTTTTCTCCTTCTCTTTCTCTTGTTCATTCCCTTGCTTTGTCTCTTTGTCATTCTGTCTCCACTTCTTTATCTTTATCTTTCTCCTCTTTCTCTTCCTCTTTCTCTTTCTGTGTCTCTTTTGCTTTCTCTTTCTGTTAATCTTTATTTGTCTCCTTCTCCTTGTCTTTGTCTTTCTGTTCACCTAGCTCAGCTAGTTCTAAAGCTACCTGGTCAGGCCCCCCCCCCATGATCAGATGGTACAGATTAGCGCAGATGGCGCAAACAAGATAGACCATGCGGGGGGGGGGCTGAGCATATAGACATACATACATAACAGCCAGCCTAGACACCTCCCGACCCTGCCCTCCTCAAAGAAGGCTTCGGTCCAAGTGTTCAGCGCTTTTCCCTTCTTTTTCGGACCCATTTCGGGTTCATTGGTGGCCCCACTTTTTGGGGGCCTTTGGAAGTCCCTATATAAACAGAACAGGGGACTGCGGCAATACATTTTGTTCAGGTTGTTTTGGACCCGTGTAAATTGCGTGTTTGCTTTTTGTTGAATCGAGGTTTGTGTGTAAACGTCTGTCTTTTCTGCTGTTCCAATGCATTCCTGTGTTTCCAACAAGCCAACAACACCTTGAGAAAACCAATAACTCCAAAACGAAAACACAAAACAGCCAAGCAAAACAATTCTCAGACAGTCTGTCCATTGGGTCAAAGCCAAAGGCCAAAACAACTCGAGAAAGCCCAAACACAAAACAAACAGACAAAAAGGCACAAGCACAATGCTCATACACTCTTCTAGAAGTAGCCTGTCACTATGCCAAGAGTTCTGAGAGTTGTTTGGTTTGGTTTTCTCGAGTTGTTTTTGTTTTTTTGTTTTCGGCAGCGCTGATCCAGTGGATTTGTAGTCTATTGAAATAAATTCCTACTTACAAATTCAGCTTAACCTGAACTTTCAAGTTGAACTCTGCTTGAATACATTGCTTGAAAATAAATGATGTGTAAAGAACTTCTATTGAACCGGCCATCCTGTGTCAAGTTTATTCAAACTATAATTTGCCTCAACGAGAGAGTGTTTCTTTAAACAATGATGGCCCCCCTTTTGGCCGGCATCTCTAACCGGAAGCCGAAAGGACACGATTCCTTTGTTGATCTAGCGAACAGTTTGGATCTGGCTTTTGCGGATCCACTCCCGTAGGATACTAAAAGAGCATTGAAAGATTGCTGAAAAGGACCGGCAGCGGGAAGACAAATCGGTGAAATCCACGAACAAAGCGCAAATCCAAACCGTTTCTTGCTGGTGGGATAGGCTGGGAATGAGTTGGAATGACCCCTACAAACCAGCCAACCGTGTGTTTCCTTTAAGGGGACCAAAGCCTGGGTTCCTTCCCTCTTTCCCTATGGCATCCGCAAGGTTTTCTAGAGACCAAGCGTGAAGGCCTTTGGGCCCTCGAGGTGCGTCTGGCATTGCCCCGGGTACGCTTGCTGCACGCGGCAGAGCTGGGCGCAGGTGCGTCAGATTGGCTGGTGTCGGCGCTTTTTTGGGGCGGTTGGAACAGGCCTTTTGGGCCATTGTTGGAATGAGCTTTCTTTTGGTGGGGTGATATTTGAAGGGATGCAAACGGAACCCTAACTAGGGACCACCCTTTGAGCATGGGCTTTGTATGTTGCGAACGGCACGTCCACAGTGAAACGGACGGCGCCTTATCACTCAAGAGAAGGGCACGCATTTAGTTGTTGGACATTGCCTATGTGGTTGGTTTCATGTTCAAACTCTATTTTGTTTGGCATGACCCGACAGGCTCGTTGCATGATTGACACATGGAGAAAACTCAATGATTCAGTGCTGGACAGGCCCCTTTGAACCCGTTCTTTTCATAGCTCCTAGACCCACTAGTGAGCAAGCAAAGAAGGGGCAACCCTTGCATACCACTGTGAAAACAGGGGCATGTACGTCGGTCTTCAAACGGGGAATCGCCTCAGGGTGGTGTTCAAAAGACGAAAGGCCAACAAATGGTCCCACCATGTTGAAGATTACCACAGTTTTGGTACTTGCAGGCCCTCAGCGCGTTTTGGGGAAAGATGCTACATAGCGCAGAAAATTACCGGGCGGCGCCCAGTGATTGCTGGTCAGTCACCGAACCGGCAACGGCAAAGATTGAGATGATCTCGGCACGTTCGTAGTGGTCCATGCGACATGTTGAGACCGCAGCCATTGGCCAGGATTCTGTTGTCCAGTTTGCTTTGGAGCATGTTGTCCGGCGGCTGCATTCGAAAGCGCTTGCTATAAAGGGGGGAAGTGCCAGGGTCGTCAGCAAGTGTGAAGAGGAGTTGGGCCCTTTTCTGGTAGAGGTTTCAAGGAGAGCCAACATCAAGCCAGCTATTTGTTTGAGGGTGGCTCCTCAAAAGGTGTATGTGAATTCACAGTGAGTTGACCTCCCTTTTGGACGTTTTTTGTTTTGTTTTTGTTCTGGGACAAAAGAAATTCTTTCCCCCAAACCTGGGCCTTGCCCAAGTTTTCTTTCATTCTTCGAGGCAGCGACTGGCCTCATGATTTTCCCTTTCTCAAAGTCACCCCTAAAGTGATGGGTTGAAGGAAACAAATCCAGTTTCTGACTTTGATACCCCAAAACCGTCAAAAAAAACATGCCCCCAGCACCACGCCCGAAAAAATCCCCGGCGGCACAGCAGGCGGGCCGGTGCTCTTCCGACGGCTGCACTTCAACCTGGTGAACTGGTCCTCCTGGGTGCTGCCCTCTGCGCCTCGAGTGCGATCTGAGATCGACTTGGGTGGAGAGATGGCGGTGGTCGAAACCGTTTTAGGATCCCATTTTGGTTGGCTGGTGAATTCACCCAATTTTAGAACCCATTCAGTTGGGATTGGGAGGTTCACTGGGGGCACGGGGTGGAAATACTGTGGATGCACGAAATCCACTTCGCAGCACCAAGGACACCCTGCAATAATTTGGTTCCCCTGCAAATACCAGCAAACTTAATGGTGTCTCATGGTTGCTTAGGTGGTGCGACATGGATTTCGTCCATCCACAGTATGGCGTGGCAACAGCCAAGCTCCAGCGAGTCAGATGGTCGATGTGTGCCGTGTTTGTTGCGGGTCTGCGTGCAAAAGGCCTCCGATACCTCTGGCTTGAGAAGTTGTGAGCGATGCCGCTGGATATAAGCAAGCGGTTTCACCCATGGAGCTCCTTTGCTTGAGATCTAGTTAGGGTGCTTGGGCCATTTTCGGACAACAGGTGGGAATTCAACGAATCAAAGGCAAGGCACAGCCACAGGCCCCGTTCCAGTCAATTTGGGTTGTGGGCTTCTCACCCGGCCGGGTCTCAGAGGTGTCTACAGGGCAAGTTGCACACGTGGTTGGTTGCTTAGCAGTTGTCTTCTAAGGAGCCACCAAAAGCAGGCCGCCCGTTGTCTAGTGTTCATCCTTCAGCAAAAGGTATCAACCCTTATCCCTCCACTACCCATGGAGAAGACTAGGCACCCACTTCCATTGTCGGAAAAAGGGTGGAAGTTTGAACCCTGCAAAATGGGTGGCTTTCCTGTTGGTGTTCTTATTGGGTGTGTGTGTGTGTGCCAAAACAGGGGACCCCTGATTACCCTTAAACCGCCACAAACTGACCATTTCCCATCAAGCCACGGTTCGTGGTTAACCGAGCAAGAAACTACTGTGGACAAGGAAAGCCACACTTGAACCGCCCCGCCCCCCGGCACCAAAAAAAAGCCCAAAAAACACCAAGGAAAGCCGCGCCATTCCCTTGAAAGTTTTAAGGAAAGTCGCCTTGAACCCCCCCAACTTCGCCCCCTCAAAAAAAGCAAAACACACAATGGCTCAAAAAGCCTCACGGAAAGACACACACACAATTCCCTTGAACACCACGGTTTCCCCATCCACTCACTGTCTTTCCGAGGTCTCTGTCTGCCCAAT